GGGGGGGGCCCGCGCGCTCCGGCCGGGGGGGGGGGGGGGGGGGGGGGGGGGGGAGCACGTACTGATGGCCACGGCACGTGCCTGTGTGTGTGTTGGCACATGCGTGTGCAGGGCCGGGGTGGCACCGTCCCAGGCAGGCCTGGGGACAGCCCCCCCCCTTGCTGACCCCCCCCATCTCCTAGGGACCCTGAGCCGCGTACCCCCCATGCCCGCCATGCTGCGGGCGCCGCCGGCCATGATCCAGCCACACCTGGACCTCAAGCACTTCCTGTCCTTCCCCGTGGAGGCCCCTGCGCCCGCCGGCATCTTCCCCACTTTTGGCACGGTAAGGCCCCGCCAGGCACTGGTGGGGCGGCTCAGAGTCACAGGCATCCTGCGAGGGGCAGGACCCTGCCCTGGGGGGTCACGTGCTAGGGGCTTCAGGGGGGTGTTTGTGCTGGTCTCCAGGTGCCCAACTCCCCTGGGCCCCCCACCCCATGCCCTGCCCTAGGGCATGGCCCTGATGCCACCCATGACCCTGAGTGTGATCTTTGATCCCAGCCATGCTCTGAAAGCGCGACCTCCGACCTGGAGCAGGAATCCTGACACCGCCAAGCTGAGCATGTGACCCCTGGCCCCAAACAGGAGCTCAGAGCGTGACCTGTGACCTCAGGCCCCAGCCCCAGGGTGGGCATGACCCTGCTCCGTGCCCCCTCCAAGCCAGTGCCCCCCACCTCTCCCCCCGTCCTGAGCTGAGCACAATGCCTCCACGCTGCAGCGAGCGACCTGGGGGTGCCCATGCCCTGCGACCCATGTCCAGCTCTGGCATCAGCTCTGGCATCTCCGTGGCAGCTGGCAGGTGACAGGGGGGCCATGATTTTAGTGCAGGACCCAACCCAGGGCTCAGGGGTGCCCAGGCCCCTTGGCCATGGTCTCCCTGTGACCCACTGTGCCTCAGTTTCTTCAGAGTGCCATGGGCTACACCCCTGCACCCTGCTTCAGCTGCCCCTGGTGTCAGCGTGGCCTTGTCCGGCTCGGTCCTGGGGCCACGTCTCCAAGCCGTGATGGGGCCAGGGATGGGGGATCCCGGGATGCCTCCGATTTGTGGGGGGAGCGGGGTCCATGGTCTGATGCTTGGTGCAAATTATGCAGGGGGGGCGGTTAGCATGTTCAATGCTGCTTTGCATAGACATGGCCCGTGGCCCCTGTGGCATTTGGCCCTGCTGGGCTCCCTGGCACTGGGTGCTGGGCTGCAGGCCCTAGCGAGGGGCAGGAGGGCGAGGCCAGGTCTGGGGGGACCCAAGGGCTCGGTGCCGTGGCACAGACCCCACTGCCACGGCCAC